AGAGTAGTTGCTTGACGTCAGCGTCACTTCTACGAGTCCTTAGTAGGTTCTTTTACTCGTCTTTTTTGGTACTTCACCTAAATTCCTGATTTTGCCTCTTCGCCCTGAGTCGATCGCGTCCCCTTGCGTTCACCCACTTGCATGCCGGCCGCGGCCCGGGCCCGGGCTGCTTCAGGTCCTCCCGCTGGCCGTCTGGAAGTGAGCAGAGCATGCTGCCTTGGCCCCCAGGACCCGCTCGGCGCTGAAGCTGAACAAAGAGTCAGCCGGTGTTGTGTTCGGCGACCTTACGAGTATTTGTGCAGGGTGCGGGATCTGCAAGGGCTATGCGCGGCCGGTAGAGCTTCTCGTGAGGCCCTGTACCATACCTTACCCTACCCAGGACCCTGATCCTTTGCTGTCATTGATGCTTCAAAAGTGTGTCAGTCGTTTTACAATTTGCTGTTTTGAGTCCACTGACGGATTGTGTGAGGGACTGTCTTGTTTAATAGCCAATACATGTCTAATCGAATCTCCATCATGTGAGGTTCTCTGTTGTGTATTTGATTAATTGGTTCCCACGCATGATTCGCAGTCTCAGACTTACTCTTCCAATACTGCAAATTAACACTAATTTAATGAACTTAATTTGAAAGAACTCTATTTTTAAAGTTAGTTCATATCTATGTAGTCCAAATTGCTTCACAAAATTGCCATAAAATACTCATGTTGTTCATCGTTCTTTACACAGCAGGTGAGAGATGGCGCGCGGTCAGCAGAAGCTGCAGTCGCAGGCCAAGGCAGCTGAAAAGGCAGCCAAGGTCGCCAAACAGAAAGGCCACAACGCTAATACCCAGAAGAAGGCTGCACAGCAAGCTCTTGTTTTCTCGTGTGCAGTATGCAAAGTACGTCCAATTTTTGTTGCATCACGAAAGGAGTGATTGATTTGTCAACCCATCTTCATAATGTGATAAAATGTTTTTGTTCCAGGCCCAGATGCCTGACCCCAAGACTTACAAGCAACATTTTGAGAATAAGCATCCAAAGAATGACCTACCACCAGAATTAAAGAATGAATGAAAGGCATTCCAATCATCCTGATATAATTTGGAAGGGGGGAAAAAGACTCAACTGTTCTTCTTTTTATCATTGTCGGAGAAGGGTAAATGAAGGTTTTTAATTAATCATCTGCAAAGAAACCCATGATATTAATAGGCTTCAGAAGCAAGGCACATGACTGAATTTAATATGTGATGACTGTAGCTACCTCTGTTTCGGTCATTGATAATGTGTGGAACTTTGGCTTGTTTGGCATCAGATTTAATCATTTCCAGGAAATATGAGGGTACTAGATTTTACCAATTTTTCTTACAATTTTGCTGTTATAAGAGACATTAGATCCTTGTTTATTTTTCCTTGAAGAAAAAAAACAATAGTCAAAATGATAGTTGGTTTGTGGTTTCTACCAATGTCTTGCTATTTGCTTTATTGAGCTTTGTGGGATTGGCCATCTCTTTGCAAACAGTATTTGAAGCTATATTGGTGTCATTTGTACATGTATACCATTGTGATGGAGTTTTCTTAATTCAGAATTTGCAATGTCTGGCTCATGTCCACTTAATTTGCAGCTTGTATTTCATATTCATTCTTATACTGTTTCAGTGAACTAAGGTACAAGTAATTTAAGTTGTTTTTATAAAAAGAAATTAATAAAGTTTATTTAATAAACTTTTTTTCCTATATTATGAACTTAACTGTAAACCTTATATTCTATTCAGGCACTGAAGTAGTACTTTACGTAACTTGTACCTCAGCTCTGGGTCGCAGTTTACATGAGTTGATTTATCCTCAACAATAATGAGAGCATCTTCCTTGGGCTGGGAGAAATAGAAACAGAAGTTATGTAAAGTCAAAATCTGCCTCAGCTTCAACCCTGCATGCACCTCCCCCCTCACCCCCTAAATAGGAAGAGAAGGTGACTTACGAGATGTATGATGTATCCATTTGAGTTCTGCTCTACTTTGGCCTCTGCAATGCCAACATCTTCTCGAAGCCGCTGGATGAAAGTGTCAAGATCAAGAGAACCCCATTCATAGCGCATTTGAGATAGAGTTTCTTCTGGACGCCGAGGAAGCTTTTTAGTTGAAGGGTTGTTTCCCTGATTGCTAGTTCCGCTTGGTTCCAAAACCTGGTTACATTAAACTAAATCATTAGAAAATAACTCCACTAGCTCATAAAGCAAGCGGATGGCTAAGAAAAGACATATTCTGAACATATCAGTCATTGACTCATGTCTACACACTAACCTGAATGTGGTGATGGTTGTCTTTGACTTGTAACTGTCCTGTAAGAGTAGCCAGGTTGACTCCCATACGAATTTCATTGACTACAAGTTTGTTACAAACTTCGGGACTTAAATTGACCCTAGCCCGTTTCCTTTTTAAAGGCAGAGTTAAAACATCTCCCCCTTTAAATGAAATTATGTTGTTTTTGTCAGTCTGTGGAAAATTAAGTAAATCTAACTTAAAACCCAGATAAGAAAATGTTAATAATAAATTTTAATTTTTAACAGAAAGTTACCTGTTCTATGACCAAGTCTGTTCTGCTGGGGGCCTCCACAGGTGGCTTCAAATAGGATTCAGGTATAACTAGTGTTGTTGGCTTTAGGTCTCGCACAAGCTTATTTCCTTGGGTGAAGTTTAAAGATGTATCAATGGGACAATGCATTGCCTTCATTGCTAGGGGCTGGAAAGGAGCTAGTGCTTCTAAGTATGGAAAATCAGGCTCTGTGCAAACATACAAGACCAATACATTCACTTAGAGAAAATAAGGTTGGTTTAAGAAGATAATGACAAGGGCATTATGAACATGAAGGAGTTACCCCCCCATAGCGGGTTATGTTGCTAAGATGTTAGTAAGGTAATTGTATGTAATTCTATTATATTAATTCACAGCAACACTACACTTGCCTGTGAAAACAACAGCATGTTGAGAGTTGGAACCCCACAGCTCCATAAAGTGAACTGAATCACCAAACCTCAGGCTTGGGTGTCCACAAAATACTACACATGGCTGAAAGCATTAAAAATAAAATTACCAGCATGACAAAAATTACTTTAGTCACCGTTGAGTTTAATTTGCAGTATGAAGGCTGCAAGCAAAGTTGAGGCAACAGGATAGTGTGGGGGTCGTTCTTTTCTCCCTTGCCCCAACTATACCCTTGCAGCATCCGAATCATAAATTCACCTTCACAAATAAATAAGACGTACCTGTCTGTATTCTGTGCTAAAGCCTTCTGCATAAATATTTTTAAAATGCTTTAAACGGTTATTCTTGATAAGGAATGCATGAGGGAAAGGTTCCTCTGGAAGATACACCTTGTTTTGCTTTCCTTGAGACAACCTTGGCAAAAAAATAATTTAAAGGTCAAGACAAAGCAGTTGCTAGAATGAAGTAGTTAATTAATAAATCATAGCGATCATACGAACCACTCTGCTAAAATATTGGAATAACCTAATGAGGTATCAGCAACAGGTGAAATAAAATACATTGGAACTTGAGTGAGTCCCAAGTTTTCGAGATGTCCAGATAAACATTCAAAGAGATCATATATCACACCAGATGGATAACATGGCATTAAAACACACCCTCCAGACCGCAAAGTAGTGGCTAAAAGGTAAAGAATCATGGAGATTATTATTGGAAGCAAGTTTTATAACATCCTTTAATGGTTAATAATTAAATAGAGAAGTGAAGTATACTCACAAACAGTAATACAAAGCTCGCCAAGCATGGAGTCAGGATTGCAGAGAGGGGTTTGAGTAAGGCCAGTCATAATTAAAACATCTGCATTTTTCAGAGCAGATTGATCCATAGGCCTAAAAAACAGAGGGTGAAAAACAGATGAATAAATTCAATTAAATCCATCCAATTAATAAGTATTTGTAAAAAGACAGGCACCTTGGATGCGTTGTTAATGTTGATGAGCCACTTATATATGCAACTTTCTCATGGTCAGAGCTAATAATCCAGTTACTGCTTCCCAGACAAAAACCTGAACTCACTGGTGTTACTTTCAAAGCACCATAAACATCCTAGCAGTAATATAGTTAAAGAAATTTTTAAAAGGTAATGAAATATTTTCTTTAGCATTTGACCAAATTCCCAATTGTTGGTATGATACTTTTCATAACTTTTGTGCCCAAATTGTGTCGAAAAGGGTGAACCAGGGCTATGCTCTCATAGCTATTGCTAACCCCTCTCTACAATTTGGACATAAAAGGGACAGAAAGTGTAGTGATAATTAGGATTTCAGACACTGGCTAATAGACAAAACCAAGAAACTTACAAGTTTTTCGTCATATCCAACCATTTGTATTCGAGAAAGGCTGCTGTTGACAGCAGATAAAGAGTAGAGGTGGCGCCAGGATCGTGGTTTTAAAGAATCACATAATGGTGGAGGCAAAAAATGCAATATATCTTTCCAATGAGAAGCTAGGGATGCTTTGGGAGTTTGCTCAATATATTGTACAAGTTCCTCAAGGAAAAATCTGAAAAAGATTACCTTCCAAGATGAGTTTGAACAGTAGATGTCAGGAAAAAAGGTTTAAAGCAAAAACGTGAGACATACCTCCCAATGTGTAGCGTAGGTTCGGTTGCATACACCACACCCTCAAATCCAGTTCCTTCAGTTATAAATGGTAGAGCCATCATACAAAGGTAGTTAGATATAAGAATGACATCTATCTCAGAGAAGTCTACAATTTTCTCCTGAGGCACACAAAACTCAGGTGCTGAGTCAATAAATACCCTGCCACAGCAATCTTTCAATTCCCCTTCTAGCTGAGCATTACTACAACCATGAGGCATCCAATTGGGTAAGCCACTCAAACGTGCTGATGGTACTAAGGGTAACGGTAAGAAACTAAGCACCGTTTGTGCAGAAAGCCCACAGTCCAACATCATAGTGATTCCTTTGAATCGTAGCACATGGCATGGTTTACTAGGATGACTGCTCAGACAATACTGTAAAAGTGAAATGGGATGATACTGAAATTCAATTGCTACATTCATGTATTACCAAGGCTCATTTTCTAAAGATGTAATGTCAAATAGACAATAGATAAACACAGTATATATGATGGGAAATAATTATCATTGATAAATGGCTAGCATCTATGACATGTACATAGTGTTGAATATCTTACCAATTTCATGTTTGATGATTTCCTTTATTAGTTATTGTTGTAATTAATGAAATGATCAAAAGAGTCAAAATTAAGTATTGACAAACCACACTGTAGATTCCAATTTCAAGATAAGTTGTAGATTTCAATAGAGAACTAGTGAGGTAGTAGTATCTTCATTTATTTTCTCGCAAAGTAAAAACTTCAATGCAATTTTTTTCATTCTTTTTTACTCTTTTTCAGAGTTTGCTAATGTGTTTTTTCTAGGTTAGACTGGAAAGAAAGAACTCAGTGTTGTTGACAGAGGCTTTAAGCCGCTAGTTCTAGTTTTGTCCGCCTCCTTTCGCTGGCGTGCGCGGCGCGGCACCTTCGTGACGTTGTTCATGATCATGCATGCAATCTCCCTAATGCCAGGATGTGGGTGTGGGATGGGATGGATGAAAACGTTTGCGTGATTGTTGTAGTTGTGTGCAAAGTGTTCGAAGTGTCAGTTACATCTTAATTTGTGTTAATTCTACGGCACCGGCTGCCTAAAAAGTCGTTTATTACCATTCCTCCTGCTTTGGTAAATTCCCTATCATGAAATATAGTGTTTTTCTTTCTTTTGTGAACCCGAGAGATGAATTTGATTTGTGTTTGGGATGATCCCGGTCTCTTCTTGTTATAGAATAAGTGACCCTTTTCCTATTTATCTTACTTTTCTATGTTACCTTATATTTCTTATTAACTAAAGTGAAATTTCGGCTAACTTCCCTTATTAAAATTATGACTTGCCGGTGTTTCGATGCCGTATCAGTAGTTATATGAGCCCGAAACGTTTTTCCTAACCTTAGTTTTCTCTACAGCACTAAACTCCCTTCACTTATTTGATAATTTAATATTCTTTGCAGAATGGTAGCGCCCCTTCTTCCTGAACCATGACGGGATTCGGTCACAATACTTCTCCCTCTGTTGACCTGAGCTCCTACCGTGATCAGCATTTTAAAGTGAGTGTGAGAACCATACGATGCATACTATTTGACTGGCGTTTAAGTGATCAATCTTTTTTTTTTAATTTTAGGGATCAAGAGCTGAACAGGAGAGGCTTTTACGTAATACTACTACTATTTATGTTGGCAATTTGTCATTTTATACCACTGAGGAGCAAATTTATGAACTCTTCTCAAAGTGTGGAGATGTTAAAAGAATAGTAATGGGCCTGGACAAATATAAAAAAACGCCATGTGGATTTTGTTTTGTAGAGTATCCTTTATCAATTTGAAATTGGATCTTTAAATTAATTTCTATTCTGTACTTGGATGCATGAATTTCTTTCTCTGTCTATGTTTCCTTAGCCAATTTTTCAGATATTATCTAAGAGAAGATGGAGAAAACTGCATGAGATACATTAATGGGACAAGACTTGACGACCGCATTGTGCGAACAGACTGGGATGCAGGTTTTGTTGAAGGGAGACAGTATGGCAGAGGCAAATCTGGTGGACAAGTAAGTGGTGGAATCTAGTGTTCCATTCTTTTTCATGTGACCATAAATATTTATGTGTTATTACAAATTTCAGGTTCGAGATGAATACAGAACAGATTATGATGGTGGAAGAGGTGGCTACGGCAAACTGATGCAACAGAAAGTTGGTGGACCTGTGCAAGACATTGCTGTCTTTAGAAGTTGATTTGATTGTGAGTGTTACTCACAAATCCTCTTTATTTTTATCAACCAAATCGGGCAGTTTTCTCAGTATATGATAATGCAAGAAGTTTGTATTTACTCATATTTAAAATTTATATTGACACACTTATTTCTTTTAGAATGTACACATTTTTGTATTATGTAAATTATGGGATTACTGCCATGCTATCTGCTGTTGAGTTCATACCAACAGATTTTCACGAGAGCAGAAATCATG